GATATACGTGTTGGATGGCAACCAAATAAGAAAGAACGAACAGCCTGAAAATGATTGTTGTTGTCGTCTTTGGTGTGGGTGTTGCTATTGTTCGTGTTTGTTGTTGTCGTCGATCTCGCCCGCGACGCACCCGCGACCCACCCGCCACCCACCCCGCGACCCGCCCGCAACCCGCCCGCGACACACCCCGCGACGCACCCGCGACCCACCTGGCGACCTCCCCGCCAATATTATCCGCAGCTGCGGGGTGCCTCATAGACATGGCCCAAGGACGTTTCCACTCCGACTGTCCCCAAGCCACCAGACCAGCAATGGCGGACTGGCTGCAGACAGCGAGACGCCTCCGATCCACCGCCTCCCACGGCTCGTTCGCAGGGCTGCTTGGCGCGCCGACCTTTGCGCACATGTCTGATCCGTTGGGCCCTCGCACAACACATCCCACTGGATCTCCGCCATCTGGCGCCGCCAGTAGCAGATAGTCTCTCCGCCGGGGACGGCCCAGGAGTCTCCAGGACGGTCCTAGGCGCCAGCGGGGGGGGACTCGTTGCAAGCGTCTTCGACAGGACTCGCGGGGCAGACCTCACTGCTTCGCTACCTGGTTCGCATCGGACTGGTAAGCAATCATTTCTCTCTGCTGGACCGCAGCAAGGGGCCCGCTTCCCCCGTCCGCTGACTGGCTGGCACCGACGCGGGGCGCGCGAATGAAACAAATCACTGGGTGGGGCGTCGGGCTGGGTCTGGCGCTGCATCTGAATTGAAACGACAGAACAGAGAACCATGATTCAAGGCATCTGCACTAGCACTATGCGAAAGAAGATACCTAGCACGCGAAGGGCCCTGGGAACGCAGGAGCTAAGGACGCCCAAGACTCGGTTCACTGACTGACGCGACTAGAGGCCACTCCAATGGAGTCGGTGCAAATGGGGCCGATGCATGGACGACAGATCGTCGATGCATCGGCGACGTCGGCGATGCATCAGCGGCACCGGCGCGCATGAAATAAAGCTCCACTTGGAACCGCGTCGCTGATGCGGCGCGATCCTCCGACCCCATCCGCTCCGAAACCTCCTGGAAGGACTGAGACGATTCCTCGCGCCAGCGCGCAGGCGCAGCACCTTCGAGCGCGGCGCGAGAAAGCTTGGCGGCGCGGGCGAGCTCGCGGAAAAGCGAGCTGCCGAAGCCGCTCTCGCCCGTCTGCCTGCCTCCACGGACAGGCGAGAACGGCCCTCGGCGGCCCCGCCTGGCGTGGCGCGAGGCAGGATGGCCTGGCAGACAGCGGGTCCAGAGGGCGCTTGCGCTGGCCACTCGACGCCGCGTTGGGTCGCCCTGTCCCCCGCGTCGGGATCGACCGGAGGCGACTGCCCCCCTCCGCTTCTTTGCCTCCTCGTTCGCCTACAGGTGCTTCCTGTCTACGCGACCAGTGATCGCTGTGGAGAAGACGTGGATGACGCAACCCATGGCGAACAGGAGCATGGCAGACTGGCCGAGCGGGCACCTGAAAGACTCGACGCGGCCGTTATTGCCGAAGGGCAGGAAGCGCTGGCTGCCAGGCAACGTCAGTCGCGTGCCCTGCATAGAATCGCGCGGGCGAAGCCAATCTGAATCCGGATCTTTAGCGCCATCGGCAACCTCGCCCGGTCCGTCACCTAATCTCAGGCTTCGTTGAGCGGCGCCTCTCCCTGGGCGAGCGCGATGATCTCGAGGCGCCCAGGCCCGGGCGGAATTGCCCCACCGTCATGCTCGAGGGCCTTGCCCTGCAGCATGTAGAGCGCGAGGCGCATCGCAATGAGCTGGCGGGCCCGCCGCCGCGAGCAGCATGCCAGAGAGACCATTCCAGAGGGCCCGGCCCGCCGCGTCGCCCTCGCCCGCAACGGGCGCGGCCAATAAGGCCCCAACGGACAACAAATCTAATTGGAAGGGTGCAAATCAGCATCGGAGGGACATTGGCCCCTCATGTTGCCGCGCAGGACACTGGCGGGCGAGTTCGGCCCTCCGCGCAGAGCTGCCACTGTCAGCGCGTCGAGGCCTTGGCGGCGAGAATCATCGCGACGGCTTTGATCTGAACTTTGTCCACGCCCACCAGCTGCTGGGCCCTCGCTGACCAGCCCACGGCGCAGTCGATCACGCACTGGGCGCGGCCGCCAACATCCCGACAGCGCGCGTAGCCGCCGCAGCGAGAATATCACCGTAGATCCCGAAGCCCTCCACCGGGCGGGCCCGCGCGAGTACGCGGCGGCGCCGGGGCTCGGCGGGCGCGCGAACATCGCGGCGCCCACGACGAAGATCATGCAAGACGCCTCGGAACCTACGCCGCGCTGGATATGCTGGTTGCGCCGCGAGAGGAGGGCGGCGCGGCATTTCGCGGCCCCCTGGGCCAGTGCGGCGCAATGCGTAGCGAGCAGATGGTCCGGGGTCCTGAAGACCACGTCTGCCCCCGTCGTGAACCAAGTATTCCCCACGCCCTCTGGGTCGCGGAGACGACGGGCACGCCGGTTGAGGAATCGCGCCAACAACTGCGCCGCGGTCGCGAGGTAGGCCAGGATGACGAGGACCTCGCGGGCCCAGTCTGACGTGGCAAGCTCCAGGATCATCTGCGTCGTGGCCGAAACCTTCAGCGTCGCCGTCGAAGTCGAATCCCTCTCCCCACGCTCCAGATGGCCAGATTGATCGGCCCAGACGAAGCTCCCGCCGCAGAGGCGGAGACGCACCCGCTGGCGCCGGCAGACGCGACGCACGTCGGTCTGAAGACAAAGGTTGAAACAGAAAGTCGGAACGCGCCGAAAGTGCTTCGCGCTTCCGACCGCCCCCTGGCGACGAGGCCAGATGGAATGTCACCCGACTCACGCAGTCGAAAAGCGCCCGAGGTAGATTGGGGCGCGGGCGCCCGCCAAAAAAACACGTTCGCGGCCGACGGGCACTCATATGTAAATCCTTCAAGGCCTCGGGCTGGCGACAGCCGGCGGCCCCGAGCCAAGACTCGCTGATGGCGCGATAATGGCCGCGCGAGAAGTTTGCCCGCGTTCGCAATCTTGGCGCAAGCCATCCTGATCCCGAACGCGTCAACCAGTTGAATCTCGTAAATGACCCAGTCGCAATATGTGTCCTTCGCCTGCATCGCATTCAGGTAGTGGCATGTATCCAGACGCATAGAGAGGGACTCCCCATCCTCGGGGCAGCAACGCTCCGCTTGCATCGGGAACCCCTGACGGCTGACCGCGACGCTCCGCGCCGAGCACGCCTTCGAGGCGCGCTGCCTGGCCCGTCTTCGCCCCCTCGCCCCAGCGGCGCGTGGCGGGCAGCGCGTTCACCCAGAGGAACCACAACGGCAAGGATAACATGAAGATGGCCAGGAGAAACGCCCCCACGCCCCCGTAGAAGCTCGGGAGGTGGGCCGACTTGAGCGCGGCTGCGCGGAGTGCCCTGAGGAGAACGGGCACGCGCATCATCGAGATGACCTGGGGCAGCTCGGGGCAGTTGCGCGCCGCCAGAAACTCCGAAGATAATGCCGTAGTCGCAGGCTGCGATGGCGACCTGCTTCTGCACTCTGCTCTTCCAGCAACACCAGCCAACACTGACGAGGGAAATCGCGAAAAGGAGCGACATGAAGACGATGCCGTTCCCCATGAAATCCACATTCTACGAGCCAAACTTGACGGCATCGACGCCCAGCCCTGCCAGAAAGCGCGCTTTCCCCAGGTGGCCAGCGTGTCCAAGCCTGCGGCGGGAGCGCCTAGCCTCAGCAAGGCGAGCTATTCTGCGCACGCAACAAACAGGAATGGCGGCCGTTCCTGGGCCCTCGGTTCCTTGAACGCACAAGCGCCCCACAAGTCCGAGCCCAGCACACTGCATACGAATTGCCTCGCGACCGCAACTAACTCCTTGTAACACGTCCGCCCCGTATACGTTAATGCTCCCTCGGTGTGTCCCCGTCTTTAGGTCGTCAAGCTGGACGCCATCTGCGACACGTCCTCGTGACGTCCAGCGTCATACCCCTATCCATGGCCATGCTGATCTTCTCCATGCAGTCGGCCGTCACCCCAGCCACGCACCAGCGCGGCCCATGCAAGAGGAAACTAATCGTGCAATATCGTTCCCCTGCAGCGCCTCAACCATGCCATGCGCATCCGTTTCGCCGTTGACGCTCACCATCTTGTCCCCGACTGGTCTTCTTCGTAGGTGCAGTTCCTTCTGGGCCGAAGATGCCTGTGACGGTGCTGCCCCCGCTCTCCATGTCGAAGGCACGGTACGCCATTCCGAGCACGCCGCTCTTCGGCATCACTGCGGTGCGCGTCGGTTATTCCAGCGACAGTGGCACCAGGTCGCTGTCCTCCTCGATGCCCACGACTTGCTGGATGATATTGCTGATGACGTTCATGGCCTGGCGGTCTGCCCAGCGCCGGCGCCTGCCGCGCGAGCGGCCGTAGGGGGTGTGGGCGGCGGGGGCCGGCGCTCGGGGTCCGTGTCGGCGACGGGGCCCTGGGCAGAAGCCTCGGGCCTCGGGCCTACCATGGCTTGAGCATGAATGGCATACGATAGGGGGCAATCCATCCTCGAGAGGGGTACGTCGGAACAGCCCACCTAGAGTGCCGCCCCGAGGATACCACCTCTTCTGAGCGGCCTGGTGCGTCGTGGAAAAAGTCGGGGGTGGAGATCGAGAAACCGCCTGCGAGTGCAGTTACTGGAAGTCATGGGTTGGGTGTGAATGGTCGCGCAGCGATTCGATGTGAGAGCAGGACGAGGACGAGAGGGGTGGATGAGGAGGGGGACGGGACTGAAGACGGGCAGGAGGAAAAGAACGATGAGGTCGAGCAATTAGAGATGGGAAGACGAGGAGAGAAGAGACGCGACATGAGGGCGACTGGGTAGGCTGGCGATGATGATGAGGATGTACAGGGTGAGGAGAGTGAGATGGTAAGGGAGGAATGCTGCGAAAGTGAGCAAAAGAAGAAGGCGAGTGCAGAGGAGGTGGAGCAAAAGAACCCCCTCTGGCGGGCAACTGCCTTCCGCCCTTTGGAGTCGGTGAGGTGGCCGTCCTGAACCACGCGCTCGCGTGCGGTCGGCCCGCGCGAAGGAGACTCCTCGTCCGCCTACTCAACCTCGGCCATGCTTCCCCTCCTGCCCCTCTCTTCGTCTTCACATTTACGCATGAATTGCGTCCAACCTATAGACGCGTTTAAGATTAAGAACGCGAGTGAACTTGAAAATGCGAAGATGGCTGGTAACCGTGTGCGGTTCAGAGATGGCGGCATCGTGAAAACTTGAGGAAAACCGAAGACACGCGTGGCAACTTGAACGATTTCCCTAAAAACAACCAGTGCAAACCGTGAAACTCATAACAAATGTAACACATGCAAACCGTGAAACCGCTACAACAATTGTACATATGCTTCACGAAACTCCACGTTGCAGGGAAAGCGCAGCGGAACTCGTCTTGGAATCCTCTCAGAACGCCTATCCAAGATCGAATCGAAAAGCCGGACCAGATCGGAATTCACATCGAATCGGGCCGCATCGGCACGGAGTCGGAATTGAATCAGATCGGCTGCGCCAGGATACACAACAGCGCCGTGCACGCATCAGGCCGCATCGGATCGCCGACCTGTAAGAATCGAATCGGATGGGGCCAGTCGGAATCGATATCGAATCGGATCGATCGGACCAAAATGGCTCTGCCTAGTCGTAAAGACTCTCGCAGGGAACAGGCAACGAGAGTACGCAGGCTGGGCAGCGTTGTGGCACATGGCCCCTGATCATGCCCACGCAACCTTGAGAGCAGGAGGCTCGGACAGAAAAGAACAAAGGCTGAGTGGACAGAGCGACGCCCGACAGGCGGAGTGCGTCTCTCAAACTCGCACGCACTCGAGGGCACGTAGCTGGGGGCGGAGAAGCAAACCCGCCACCGTGCCACTGGTACCAAATGGAGTGTCCTCAGGTCACTTCGGGTTCTGAGTAGTGAAATGCCTGAAGCTCGTTCAGGTCTCCTGGATGTCGAGGTCTTCGAACAACGGCGACTGGCGAGAAGCGTTGAACGCGGCCAGTCGCTGCGCGAAAAGGATGGTCGCCCACGGACGGCGTTCGACGTCGGCCTTGCTGTCAAGTTCAGGCGAGGTCTACCGAGTGCAAGAGGAGCAAACGCGGCAATGAGGAGCGGCGAGACAAAGATAACAGCGGGGAGAAACGAAAGGGTCCGAAGACCAAGGTGGCGGAGTGAGGCAGGACGTCTGAACAAGATCCACCGTCATCCCCTTCTGCTCATGCTGCCAACTCGTGACGGTTGGCCCAGGCAGGGAGCCAAGCTTGGCCCCATCGCATCTCTCCCTCCGCACCAATCCATACATCCCCAACCCGGCCCGCCTTTTTATCTGCTTCGTCTTCCATGTCAATCACCCTGGATGAGGAAGAAACGGACGAGGATGCTCGTTCCCTCTCTCTGTCTTTCTCTCTCTAGGTCCCTGAAGGTCCCACGCGGCCTCCAGAGGCCCCCGAAAGGCGACACGCCTCGGTAATCGAACCTCGATCCTCGAACCTCCGACCCCTCCCGACGCGCCCATTGGATCTACTGCGACTCCGACTCTACCACATTTCTGCTCGACGAATACTACCGACCACAGTCCTCCAGAATTTGAAGCATCAAATTGAATACATCTGGGTGCGCCTTCTCGACCTGGGCGGAGAGAGCGAAGAGAAACGAGCGAGACAGGGATGTAACGTGCACGCGAGCGGAAGACAAGGCTGGTCCAATAATATGGATGGAAAGCAGGGCAGGATGTCAGTCTTGAGAGCTTCCAGAATGGCCCAAGAGTGCTCCAAGATCGTCAAGCCCCCGAGAGGTGGCCAAAGGCCCCCCACGATGCCCTAGGAGGCCATCAGGATGCCCCAAGGGGCCTTCATCGGTGCACGCCCGTGACACGGCGGCACGCTCCTCGACCTCGAAGTCCAACCCTCAACCACGATGGCGAAGAACAGTCAAAATCCGGCCGGGCTGCGCAGACCGCAAAGGTACTGGCCGCGCGCGCTGAAGCAGCGGTGGCATTGAGCGCAAGCCCCGCTGCCCTGCTGCATGGCGACAGAAGGCATGGTGGGCCACCATGCCTTGGAGCGTCGCACACGGCTCGGCGTCGGGAGAGGGAAAGAAACGACGGCACAAGCAGAAGTAACACATAGTGTTGCAGCTGGGCGACGGCCCCTACATGTGGCATCGCGCGGGCCTACTGCGCTGGGAACGCAGAGGAGGGGAAGACGCACCAAGGCCGCCTCACTCATTCACGCAGCTTGACAAAAAATTGTTTTACCCGAGATGACAGAGCGACCTTACGCGGTGATCTCGCCAGCGCGGCACTCTGCATTGGAAACGAGGGAGCTTCTGCGCAACCTTCCGCGGGCAGCTTACGCGCCAATGTCGGCGAAGACGAACCCGGTTCCCTTCGTCGCCAAACTGGCGCCTCGGTCAGGACCAAGCTGGCAGCAAGAGTGCGGTAGGGTAGGAGGCCTGGCTACCGTGGGCCACGGGCGGCCCCGGACACGAGTTCGGCAGGGAGTGCGCAGTCGAGATGGGCGAGCGGGAAATCTACAACCTCTGCTTCACGGAGCTCTCAAGTGCCATTCGCAACTTCATGAGCTTCATGTCACTGCCACGGGCACAGTGTCGCGTGTCACTCGAAGCCCGTGCGCCACTCCAGAAAATGGCTGACATCATCAACATCACAAATCAATTTCGTGGCCCTGGAAAATACTCTGAACACGCCCGATGGACGCATCAACCAGTGCGGTATCGCGCAGCTCGGAAGCAAACTACCAACGAGAGAATCCGCCACCGTGCCTCTGGGTCCTTCGCCTAATCCTCTAAGCCTCGACCCTCACCCCTGAGGATTCTTAAGGGGCCCAGAGCCAAAATTACGAAATCAACTGGAGCTTCCCGCGGCTGGTCGGGGATCCGGCGCGTCTTGTCGCATGATTTTTCCGGGCCCAAGAGGGCCCCAACACGAGCCCAGAGGGCCCCAATAATCCCCCAGGACAGTCCCAGAGGGCCCCGAGTCGCCGAACGATCGCCCCAAGTCGCCCCGATCGCCCCATGACGCCCCAAGACGCCCAAGATGAGAACCCCGGGAGACAAAAATCATGAATTGCCGCTGGGTGTTTGAAGGTTTTTGGGGGGTTTTCGCCTTTTCGGCTTCCCGACGCTCCAAGTCGGCCCAAGAGGTCCCCAAGATCGCCCCAAGACGGCCCCAAAGGCACCTAAGAAAGCCCCGAGACGGCCACAGAGTGCCACAAGACAGCCCAAGAGACTCCCGAGACGGCCCGAGAGGGCCCAAAGACGGCTCCAAGAGGGGGCCCAGATGGGGAACCCGAGCGGACATTTCGAGCCCACGGCCCCGGGGGACCCCCAGGATGCCCAAGAGGCCCCCAAGAGGCCCCCAAGAGGCCCCCTCAGAGGCCCCCAAGAGGCACCCAAGAGGCTCCCAAGAGGCTCCCAAAACTGCCCCCAAGAGGCCCCCGAGAGCGCTCCGAATAGACCCCAGTAAGCATCCCTGAGAAGTCTGACCAGCAACCCGGGCACGGCGGCGGGATGGGCCGAAGGCCATTAGATAACGCACCCAGTGACGCGCACCTGGTACCTCATATTGCTCCAGCACGCGCACGGACGCGGGTGAATATGCCAAGGAGGCCACCGCGGCAACGTGAATCACGCGGTCGGCAGACCACCCCTTCCAATCGTCGCGGAACTCTGCAACTCGCCCGTCGAACACGTGCTCATGTTGCCCTCTTGTTCCGGAGAGAAGGGGCGGTATCGAACAACTCTCAAGCCAGAGTGCCAAACGGACCGAAGGTTCGGTCGGGCGTGTCCCCCTATAAACGGATTTTGGGCGATAAGCAAAAAATGCCCCCATATAGTCAAAACAAACTTTAAAAACCGTCCCCTGACTATTCGTTTACTATTTTCGAATTTTCCTCATGTAGAGGGACACGCCCGACTTAAACCGAAGGACTCCTCGCCTCACCCCGCGGACCTCCCCACCCCACTGACACCCCCGGACCCCCCCCCATCCCTCGCACATCCACTCACTCCTCTCTCCTCTCGTCACTGCCCTCGCCCTCCCTCCCATTTCAGGAAGCAGGAAGGGGGGGGGGGAGGGGGAGGGGAATCCCATCCCTCCTCCCGTCCCTCCCCTCGCCCTCGCCCCCATCCATTCCAGGGGCTGGGCGGGGAGGAGGGGGAGGAGGAATCCTCCTCCCCCTCCTCCCCACCCAGCCCCTCCTTCTCGGGAGCTGGGCCGCAGGATGGGCCTCGTCGAAGAGCACCAAGCTGTAGGGCTTGCGCCGGATGCCGTCTGTCAGCTGGCTGTCCTGCCGCCGGGGTCGAGCAGGAAGCGGCCTCCTCTGTCCTCTTCCTCCTCCTCTTCCTCTGCTCCTGCGCCTTCTCGAGTGCCCGCTGGCCTGACATCGCAAGGGGAGGGAGGGAGGGAGGGAGGGGGGACGAAGGGAGGGGAAGGGAGGGGAGGGGAGGGCGGGAGGGTCGCGGACGCGTCATGTCTCTCTCTCTCTCTCTTTCTCTCTCTCTTTCTCTGTATCTTCTTCGATCTCTCTTGCCATTCGGCATGATCGACGGGAGTTGGTCTGGACTCGATCGTTGATCGCAGCGGTGAAGCATCTGATCGCACTCGCCAGGACGCCACATGGTTTCGTCAGGACTCAGTCGGCCGTCGAGCTCAGCCCTCGCGCTCGCATGGGATGCGGGGGACAGGGAGGGGACAGGCTAGGCAGGCAGGCAGGCAGGCAGGCAGGCGGACACGCGGACAGACGGACAGACGGACAGACGGACAGGCAGACAAGCAGGCATGCAGACGGACCGACAGACGGACAGGCAGACAGCATCAGAAGCAAGGACCTGGCCAGAACTCCAAGGGGAACCCTGCAGTGGCCACGAGAGGCCCCCCCCCGGAGTCCCCCAAAAAGGCGAACCACGTCCGAAGATCCGTCCTCACCGCGACCTTCGACGTGGAGAAACGGGGGAGAGCGTGGGCGGACTGCTCCGTCGGGGATTGCTAAAAGGTGCCCCTGGCCCCAATGTTTCGGTCGGGCATGTCCCCCTACAGGTGGATTTTGGGCGACAGAATAACAAATAATCAAAACATACTCAAACATGGTGAACCAATAATTGAAAAATCGTCCCCATACTATCTGTTGACTATTTTTGAAGATTCCTCCTGTAGAGGGACATGACCGACTGGACCCAAAGTGCCCCCCTTCTTTTGATCTCCACGGCCTCACCACATCAGCCAGACAGGCGACTCCTTACGGCCTCTGTGGGAAATGCTGTAAGCAAAATGCACCGAGCAGCAGGTGCAAAAAATTGGGCGGCCTCGCCTCGGCGAGCGCCGCTTCGGGGAGGGGGCCTCGCGAGTTCCTTTCGGAGCGCCCATTTTTTCGCTCCATCCTGGAGCCCCTGGGGCCCTCTGGGCCTCGTCAAGCGTGCTCTGGAAGCCGTGGGGGTGTCCTTGGAAATCCTGGAGGCACCTTCTTGGACGCCCGAGACGGGTACACAGGAAAAAATACGATGCCCAACATCAACTGCCATCCAAATTCGACAGCAATCCCTGTTGGGCGGGCGGCCTTTGTGTCTTCAGGGGACAACGTCCGCGGCGGCGCGGACAGCGATTCCTGTTTAAAATGGGCACGAACTGCTGTCGGTCATATTACCGTTTCTGCCCGTACCCATTTCGATCTTCTCGGGGGGCTCTGGAAGTCGTGAGTGGGGAAACCTAGAGGTACCGATACCGCTACCCCCTGGACCACTCACAGGTTACGTTCTGACAAGGATTTCGGGGCGAATCCGGCGGTATCGACGAGGGCCTCACAGGAGGCCGAACAAGGGGAAAGCGGGCGAAGGGTGGCAGCAGGGGTGCCTGTTCCTCCTCTGGGTGTGGGCCTGCCTGGAAATCCTGGGCGAAAACCTTGGGCCAGGGGCGCCCTCTGGCAGCAACCAGCTCGGAGGCGCCTCGTCGTAGCCAACGTAGCCGGGAGGGCTGCCGATGAGCTTCGACACCGTGTGCCTGGGGCGGGTTCCCCGCGGGCCGCCCAGGCAAGCTCTCCCCGCGCGCCCCGCCGGCGAGGGCCGCCCGTCCAGGCTTCTGGGCGGGAGTGCCGCCTGTTCGGTGGTCATCGTAGTGTATGCGTTGCGGTGTTGCGGTCATCGGCGGCGAGCGCGAGGGGAACATCTCGCGTGGGTCGCTACGTCATCTCGCGTAAGGGCCCTGTCTGTTCGTTCGGCCTCCAGGGTAGGGGTCGAGCAGAGGGGGTCGGAGGATCGCGCCGCATCGCCGATGCATCGGCAATGCGGCTCTAAGTGGAGCCCGACTTCTCCGGCGATACATCGCCGGCGTCGCCGATTCATCGCGGCTGTATCGACGATGCACCTCGGCGGCGCGTCCTAGGGGGAAAAGTGAGAAGGGGCGGTCCTTCTCAGAAGGCTCGAAGTCCCGCGGCCTTACAAGAAGTTTTCTTGGCCCTCCCCGAAGACGCAGGATTACTCTCACAAGGCCAGAGGGCTTCTGAGAAGTCTCGCCGCCTTCTGAGAAGGCTCTTCTCCTCACTTCCGCCCCTCGCTCGCTGCCGAGGTCAAAACTGTCAGCGCGGTAAGGATGCAAGTCCCTTGGACGCCCATGCCGAAGCTGTCCGAGCTGGGCTGGCCATCGAAAGTGGTCCAGGATAGACCGAGGAGGCAAGGATGCAAGGGTGCCCTTGGGAAGGTTGCCATCCTCACCATCGGTTTCGACTGTACCACCAAAGCGTGCTTGTACACAGAAGACCGCTAAGACGAAGCAGCCGACGCAATTAGGCCCGAACGGGGTAAAGACATTGTCGGCCAATACATAGACTGGGTATCATCGGCCTTTGGGGAGCGGCACGGCATCCCTCCTCCCCGCCCCCTCGTCTCAGGTTGCAGGGTGCAGCCTCGGTTCGAGAGGCCAGATCGGAATCGAGATTCAGCCGCATCTTCTGAAGCCGGCGCTAAGTCAGCAACCGCCGCATCGGCTCGGGAATGGAGAACCGGCGCTCGAATCACTGATGGGGGCGCAGGTGAGTCGCCTGCACAAACACTACCTCATCCGCCTACACCCTTCTCCTCTTTCTCCCCGAAATCCGCCTCCGCCTCCTCAGAACAGCTGGGAAGAACTACAATTAGGTCGGCCATGTCCCCCGACAGGCGAATTTGGGACGAAATCCCCCTACAGCGGATTTTGGACGAACATATCCAGACATAGTTCATAAAGTATTCGAAAAATCGTCCCCAGGCTATCTTTTCACAATTTTTGAATATTCTTCCTGTAGAGGAGCAGGCCCGACGTAAAGCTACAGTCAGCCCGTGCAGCAAAGAGGCACGACGAGAATGCCACAAGGGCCCTGGAGGGCCATGCCGACGCCGGGCGAGCGGGGCGCGGCCGGCGTAAGCAGTCAGGGACGGGCCGAAGGGGAAGGCCCCAAGGGGAAGCTTTGGAGAATCGCTCGTCCTCGCTACGGTGGAACGACGACAAGTTGCAAACTGTTCCTGACCGCGCACGGCTGCACCCGCACTGCGGCGCCACCTCGACGAAGCACCCCGCCCCCCCTAGATTTCAATGCTGGCATGGAGCGAGCGCCCCAGGTCCGGGAAGGCAAACTAAGAATGCAGGTCAGCATTGAAATGTGGGGGGGGCAGGTTCTCGGAGATCGATGGCCAGATTGACTGTACGTTCGGTCAAGAGGACAGGACCGCGATCAGACACTTATCGGTCAAGAGATCGATCGAAACGGCAGACGTTCCGTCCTGTCTGGGAGGTCTGACTGCATCGTTCGGTCAAGAGATCGATCGAAAGATATCGCAAGTTGACTGTACTCTCGCTCCAGAGGACAGGACCGCGCCGACGAGAAGCGGGTGCCCGAGCCTCCAGCTCCCGAGGCGTCCACTCGGCCCCGACGGGGGCATCCAATGTGAAGAGGGGGGGGGGAGGCTCCTCCCTGCTCCTGGACCCCCCCTATCGCCCTCGCTCGCTGTCGGCCCTGGTGTCGTTAAGACGCGGCCGCCTGTCCTGCCCTCGTCGCCGCGGCTGGGTGACGAGGGGGGCGCATCGGGGAAAAGTTCGCCCCCTCGCCCTCCTCCTCTCCCTCCGCCCCGTCCTCAGCCCTCTGCCTCCCTGCGAATCCACGGCCGAAGGCGGCAAGGACTGCGCTGTCCAGCATGCGCGCATAGAGGTACAGCCTGACACCAAAAGCATGAAGTGGCCTCCCCCCCCCATCCTCCTTTTCCTCCCTCCTCCGCGCCGTCCTCGCTCCCTCCCTCCTTCGCCCCCTGGGCTGGCGCCGGCGCCCGCCGCCGCCAACGGCACCAGGCTGGCGTGGAATGTCGCCACCCCTCAACGTGGAGCACCCCATCGCCTCCCCAGGAGAGGCAGGCTGCTCCGAGCTCCGCTGCAGCATCGGCATACGCCGTTCGGCCGGAAGCATTTATGCAGCCACGTGAGGTAGGAAGGCGGTGGAGTAGATGGTCCTGCGGCTCTCCAGAGTGTATGCGGTTGTGAAGTAAGAGGCAATCGATCATTGACGTCGGGAGGCGCTTCAAGTAGATTGGGATCGGGAAGTCCAAAACTGTCTGCTTTCAACGAAGCGCGTGCTCACAAGGGTAAGCCATGGATCCGCCACCGAGTCAGCGGCACGCTGGGGCGTGCTGAAATGCTTGTTGCCTTTCTGACAAGGCGTCTATAGTTTTTCTAGGGGCGATGGTCCGAAAGTCGCCCCTGCCCCGCCCCTGGCGTTGCTTCCAAGCGGTTCCGTCTGCTTCTACACGGCCCCAAGAAAACCGCATTTGGCGGCGCGCACAGGGGAAAGGGGAAGGCGTCTTAGAAGGAGGCGGCTTCTTAGAAGGCGCGGGCCTTGTCTACAGATGTAGGGCTGGCGCTTTCTGGGAAGCAGCCTCCTTCTAAGAAGCCTTCCCCCCTCCCCCTGCCCCCCTGTGCGCGCCGCCAGCACACATTGCGCCGAAACGGCTGCAAGACGGGTCAAGACCGACGAACGACTGCCCAAGGAGCTCGGAGAAGGCCCCAAGGTCTCCCCAACGACGCCCCAAGAGGCCCCCAGAGACCCCACCAGGCCTGGGAGAGACGGCAAAAGGAAGTTTCCCAGTGAGACTGTCAGAGGCAAAAGGAAGGGAGGGAGGGGGGGGGGTCTGGCTCCAGACCTCTGCTTAATGTGACTGTTTGCAAGAGTGCTGCCTCTGGGGGAGACTCCACCCGCTCGAAACAGGCGCCAAAAAACAGCCAAGATCTACTCCGTGGGGGGGGGGAGGGGGGGTTTGTCGGGGGCGCGCAAACATGGATTAGCGATCCATGGATTTGGCGCGCAGTCGCCAAATCCATGGATCGGGGGCAATGCCCTCCCCAAAATGCGGCCGGTGCAGCCTCTTTCGGCAGCGGAAATCCGCGATTTCCCATGGAAACGGGACCCGTCGCTAATCCACGCCCCCTTGATCCATGTTTGCAATCGCCTGAGTGGGGGCCCGCGCCGATCGGCAAACCTGCTCCCCCGTCGATCTTGCGGCGAACCTGGATCATTGAATCCATCGTCGTTTCTGCCACCCATGGGAACTGCTCGAGCTCGAGAGCGGTGATACAGAGCAGTGCGATCGCGCATGTTGGCTCAAAGCCAGGATCGCTTTATCCTTCAGCGCTGGGAACTGGGTGCATTATGTGGGTCGTTACCCTCAGAATTCTCATTCTCATACTTCACCACCATCACCATCGCCATTACCATCCACAGCATCAACATCAGCATCATCAACATCAGCATCATCATCCTCATCCTCATCCTCCTCCTCCTCCTCCTCCTCCTCCTCCAACTCATCATCATCATCAGCATCATCATCCTCATCCTCATCCTCATCCTCGTCCTCCTCGTCGTCCTCAGCATCCGAATCATCATCACAACCACCATCACCATCACCAAGATGATAGTCACCGTCACCATCATCATCAGCAGCATCATCACCATCATCGTCATCAGCAGCATCGTCATCAACCTAACCGCCACAATCAGCAGCATAATCAACGAATCAACATGAGCATCAGCATCAGCATCAGCATCGGCAACATCATCACCAGCAACGTCATCAGCATCAACGTCATCAGCAACATCAGCATCACCATCGTCAGAATCATCATCAGCATCATCAGAAGCATGGCCATCGTCATCGACATAGTCAGCATCATCCATATCCTCTTCTCCATCACGATTACCAGCATCACCCTCATCATCATATTCTTCATCATCATCAGTATCATCTTCATCGTCGTCACCGGTATCATTATCCTATCCTTTTCGTCCCGTTGACTCGTCCTCCAGCGACCCCTTGTCCTCCTAGGTCTCGCCCGCCTGATCATTCTCGTCGTCCAGGTCCGACTCCGTTTGTCCCTGCTCCACCTCGAGTTCTTTCTCCTTCCTTTGTGGCCTTCCCCCCCCCTCGCCTCCTCATCCATCCTCCCGCCTCGTTTCTCCCTCCTTCCTCCAACCGTGCTCCCTGCAGCTCAAACAGAATCCTCCCCATTCTCCGCCTGCACCTCCCTCCTCTCCCCTCTCCCTCCCTCCTTCCGTCGTCACGCCTGCCCCTGAATCGCCCCTCCCGGACCACTCGTCATCCTGGGCCCCCTCGTCCTCCTCGGCCCGTCTACCTGATCCTCGTCCTCCGCATTGTCATCTTCCTCGTTTCCTCGTCGTCTTCATCCTTCCCTTCCTCCCTGCCCCACCCCTCCAGAAACCCTCCATCCCTCCACCCCACCCCGCCCCCTCCCCCCATAAACCCTTCCATCCCTCCACCGCATCCCTCTCACCCTGTCTGCAGCGAGCCATCCTTGCCTCCCTCCATCCCTCTGCCCCCTACCCTTCCCTTCAGATGGCGATGTCGTCGCGGCGGCGGCGGCCTCTCCATGAATTCGCTCATGTCCAGGCGGATCATGGAGTCCTCCTTGCCGAAATAGGCGGCGGAGAGCGCCTGCGACGCCAGGTTGGGAAAAGGCAGCCGCAGGACAAGAAGGGCGGCCTGGAGACGAAACAGATCAAAAATCTTCCTTCCCCGAGTCAGCAGTGGAATGCTCTGGTGTCGGGTGGGCAAGCGGCATCCGCAAGACGCGCGGCAAGTCGCAGCGGTGAACCCGGACTAGGGGGGAGGACAAGGAGGACAAGAAGAACATGAGGGGGAAGATGACGATGAGGGAGAAGGACAAAGAGCGGGGAAGGAGGAGCAAGGAAATCGGGAAGCAGGAAAGAGGGACGAGGCCTGGTGAAGCAACGAAGAGGGAGGAGGGTCGAAAGGAGGAGGATACATGAAGAGAGGGGGGACGCAAATAGGAGGGAACAGGGGGATCCCCCCGAAAGAGGAAGGAATGGGAGAGGGGTTGAATTGAATGGGACAGGCCACAGATGGGGGCAACGCGCCCATGAGCGGAGCGATAGGAAGATCTTGCGTCACTCTGCATGTTCTGCCTCGGCACATGACCTTCGCGCCCGACGACGGCTACAACTTCCATCGGCGCGGCTCCCATGCGTATCAGCGCGGAGAGGTTTCCACTCCCATGTGCACGGGGCGATCGAGCTCGACGATGGCGCCGTGTCCGCATGGAGTGGAGTCCATCGGTGTACCCTGGCACGCTGCCCGCCCCCTGAGGCTATATTTAGAAAGGCTAGGCACGACCCCCTGGTCAGTCTGCTTAGCCACCGTGCTGATGACAGCGCGCAAGGACGCATCATACGCTTGCCCTTGTTGAGGCCGGCAGTCAGTTCCAGCCGCTCCATACACAGCCCACCCTTCGCAGGGAAGCGCGAAGGCTCCACCATACTCCCACGAATCCAGCTCCCTGCACTCTCGACTAATATCTGGCCTTCCTCCTGGCAAGTGCGGACCGCCAAAAGCGGACGAGTTGCCAAACGGGGCTGGCGGCCAGATGTGAACAATCCATATCGGAGCTGCCTCACACAGGGGCCGCCTACGAGTTGCAGACAACCCGCATCAGGGGCAGCGGCTAGCCGCCATATTCTTCTGGACAGCAACATGGGGGCTGCCTGCTGGATGGAGGAAAAACAGCTTGCGACCATTTGTCGGATCTGAAACCTTCCAAGTTCGGGGCATGCCACATATAAGGAATCTGTATCGGGGCTGGCCGCCAGACGCGAACAGCCCACGTCGCAGCGACCTGACATCGGGGCAGCCTGCCCGATGCGAAAAATCCTAATCGGGACTGCCATGTCAGAAGTCTACATCGGGGCCGCTTGCCAAAAATCGACTTGCCCACCCAACGTGAAAAAAACACGTCCGAACGAGCCTGTCAGATGCAAGAATTCTGCGTCGGGGCCGGCGACCAGATGTGAAAAGCCCAAGTCGGGCCACCACATGTGAGGAATAAATCCACCTTGGGGCTTCCTGCCACGTGTGAGAACTACACATCGGGAATGCTCGCCAGATATGAGAAATCCATTTCGAAGCTGCTCGCCAAATTTGAAATCCACAGCGAGGCATCCTGCCGGATTATAGAAGTCTACACCTGGCCTGGCCGCCAGATGTGGGATCCACATCCGGACTGGCCTGTCACATGTGAAATGCCCGCATCGGGGCTGACTGCCACATGAGAAGTCCGCACGAGATATTCACACCCAGGCTGCCCACCACGTTCGACGAAACCACGTCGCGCGAAATCCGCATCAGGGCTGCCTGCCATACGCGATGGAGAATCAACGTCGGGGCCGCCCGAAAGATGGGAGAAATTCGACACCGCCAGCAAAGCAGAGATCCACGCCGCGGCCGCCAGGGCATCGGGGCCAACGACCTCATGTATGGCATCTCAATCAAGGCCGGCCGCCAGCTGTGGGACGTCCACATTGGGGCCGCCACCCAATTTTAGGAAATCCGCATCGGTGCCGCTTGCTACATGCAGAATAATCCACGTTGGGGCCGCCCGCCAGATGTTGGGACAGAACCCCATACGTGAGATTTCGATATCAGAGTTGCATGTCGGACGTTGGACATCGGCGTCGGCCATGTGTGAAAGCCTGATCGGGGCTGGCCATACTGTGGGGAAATAACGAAGGGGCCGCTTCCAAATGTTAGAAAACCACATCGGGCCTGCGTGCCAAAATGTGAAGCATCCACATACCGGGCTTGCGTGCAAGATAAAACTTCCACATCGGAGCCGCCCGAAATTTGTGAGAAACTCACGTCGGGCCTGGTCGCCAGGTGTGAGAGATCCACACCGAGGCTGCTAGCTGGTTGTGCAGAATCGACATCAGGGCCGCCTGCAACACGCGAGGGGATCATATCGAGAAATCTAAATCCCACATCGGTCTTGCCCAAATGTGAGTTCCACATCGGGGCTGGCCCCCGGACGCTACGTACCCCGCAGCGGGGCCGATTGCAAAGCGTGAGAGATCAACATCGGGCTTACGGACAATCCACATCGGGGCAGCCCCCCCATATGTGAGAAGTCCATACCGGCGGCGCCCGCCACATGTGAGGTCTACATCGGTGCCGCTTGCCTGGTGTCAGAAATCCACACTGTCGCTGGCCGCCCCTGTGAGACATCCACATGGGGGCCGCCTGCCAGACAGGCCGCGAGCCAAATGGATAAATACCACATCCGGGCCGACCACCAATCGTAAAGAACTTGCAGCGGATCCACCTACTGGATGTGAGATCAACATCGGTGCCCCATGTCGGATAAGAAGGAATCCACACCAGGCAACCTGCCAATGCACATCGGGATGGGACTCGGATGTGAGAACGAAAACCTCATCGGGACCGCGTGTCGGATGAGACAAGCACATCGGGGCCGTCTGCTGGAAATGATAGATTACATCGGGGCCACCTGCTGGATGGAAACAAAAACTTCGGGCCCACCCGCCTGATGTGAAGTCCGCCGAACCTGACGGCGCGTGTGAGGCATTTTTTCTGTTTGAGTCGTCTTAGGTCGGGCGTGTCCTCCTACAGGCGGACTTTGGAAGGAAATCAAAACAATCAAACAAATCAAAATGGTACAGCAAATACTCGGAAAATCGTCCTCAGACTATTGTTTGACTATTTTTGAATATTCCTCCTGTAGAGGGACACGCCCGACTGAACACCAGCCGCAAGGCCTTCCCGATATCCACATCAGGGCCACCTGATGCACGTGGAAGCACGACTGCGCCCACGAGGCCTCACGAGTTCACAACACTTGTCTCGTCCGCGTCCCGAGGCGAGCGTGGGCTCGCACGGGGATGCGGGGATGCCGCATGCCTCCACATCAATGCCCTCAGCGTCCTTCCCCTTGATGCCGCTGGAACCCAGGAACGACTTCTCGCTATTCTCTCGCCCACGCCCTACCTAACCGCTCATGGGCTTGTATGTGGGCTTTGGATTGCCGCCGACTTCGGAAGCATGGCAATACCAACCTGGCACATGGTGCCTCCATTGGTATTCGACCAGGTTCTCGAATCCGTCGTCCTCTTCCATTCCCCTCTTCCTCCTCGCCCTCCTACTCCACGTCCATGGGGGCGCAGGCTTGGAAGATAAAATCCGATTGGCTGGCTGCCTCTGAGTCCTGGACAAAATCGTCAGACTCCGCTGGGCCACAGCCCAAGTCGCAAACGCCTGTCCCAGCGTTGCTTCTGTCGGCCTCCGGGTCCTGGGCATCATCGCCCAGCGCCGATACGCTGCAGCTTGCATCGCAAGCGACGGTCCTGGCTCTGTTTCTATTGTCAGGCCGATTCTCACGGGCACTGCACTGAAACCAAACGCGGTCATGCGGCGAAGTCAGTCTCGCAAGCTATGTGACTGGTAATCTGAGTATGGTTCTCGACCACGCCGGAACCAACGCTGTGGCTACACCCATCGCGTGCCTGCCTTCTAAAGGCCCTGCAGCCTTCTCGCACGCGCTAAAATTTCCTTCCATGCGGTGCCCCCTTTGGGAGGCGACCGATATTAGGAGGGCCAGGAACATTAGGGATAAAGGGTCTTTTCTGCAATGGTATCCGGCCAGGCCAAACCGCCCAGATCTATTATCCCTAATGCGAAGACGGGGACCTAAGTGAGGCCACGCCTTCATCGTGTCATTAGGGTTAGGGGTTCTTGTGTTCTCGCTGACCCAGTGCTCCCGACCTGGTTTTCGGCCTCCACGTCCACGCCGCTCCTGGGTTCGAAGGGATCCTTAAGTTCACCCTCGCCGCTGGCGGTTGCACGCGGGCTCGAAGCTTCAGGGCCACCCATCGAACCACCGAGCAGGTCAGAGTGAGGGGGCTGAACCGAAGGTCATTCACTGTCCCTGGGTGAGTGGCTGAAGTGGAATTCCGCGATGCGGATTCTTGTTGTTGTTGTTGTTGTTGTTGTTGGTTGTTGTTGTTGGTGTTGTTGTTGTTGTTGTTGTTGTTGTTGTTGTTGTTGTTGTTGTTGTTGTTGTTGTTGTTGTTGTTGTTGTTGTTATTGTTGTTGTTGTTGTTGTTGTTGTTGTTGTTGTTGTTGTTGTTGTTGTTGTTTATTGTTTGTTGTCGTCGTCCCACCCGCGACCCGCCCCACGACCCACCCGCGACCCACCCCGCGACCCACCCGCGACCCACCCGCGACCCACCCCGACACCCACCCGACACCCACCTGGCGACCCACCCGGCGACCCACCCGCGACCCACCCGCGACCCACCCCGCGACCCGCCCGCGACCCACCCCGAGACCCCCGCGGCGACCCACCCGCGACCCACGGGCGACCCACCGGCGACCCACCCGCGACCCACCCCGACACCCACCCGCGACGCACCCCGCGACCCACCCCGACCCACCCCGATACCCACGCGACCCACCCACGCGACCCACCGCGACCCACCCCGCGACCCACCCACCCTGACGACCCACCCCGACCCACCCGCGGACGCGACCCCGCGACCCACCGACCCACCCACCCACCCGCGACCCACCCGACGCGACCCACCCGCGACCCACCCGCGACCCACCCGCGACCCACCCGCGACCCACCCGCGACCCACCGCGACCCACCCGCGACCCATCCGCGACCCACCTCGCGACTCACCCACAATTTTCGGCGCCTGCGGCGGGCTTCTTTTGCATTCGTTCCAGGTGGAGAACCTGCGACCCACCCACGACCCAAACCGCGTTCGGCGGGTTTCTTCTGCATTCGTTCCAGGTGGTGGAGCTGCGACCCAAACCGTGCAGTGTACAAATCAAAATTTTGGGCGCCTGCGGCGGGCTGTTTTTGCGGAGAGGAGGCCGCAGACGAGGGCGAGGAGGAACAGGAGGGGGGGACGGAGGGGGACGACGAGAAAGGAGGGAGGAGGAGGGGGAGGAGACGGACGACCACGACGGAAAGGAGAAGGAGGGAGAATCGGGATGGGGGAGGAAGAGGAGGAGGAGGAGGAGGAGGAGGAGGAGGAGGAGGAGGAGGAGGAGGAGGGGAGTGTGGAGAAGGAGGAGGAGGAGGAGGAGAGGAGAGGCGGACGACGACGACGACGACGACGATGAGGACGAGGACGCGGACGAGGAACAAGAGGAGGAGGAGGAGAAGGAGGAGGAGGAAGAGGAGGAAGAGGAGGAGAAGGAGGAGGAGGAGGAGGGCGCCATCGACAGGGAAGGTGAGGGCCACGAGGTCCGCCGGCTCGACGCCCGCGTCGCCCGCGCCCGCCCCCTCACTCTTATCCGCAATTGCGGGGTGCTACGTATTCGACGATGTCGTTGTCCAAGGCACGATTTGGGTCACACTGGCTTTTGCATAAGAGGAAGGAGCGGGAGGCGGATGGGGAATAGGAAAAGAAGCGCAGGAGGAAAGGAGGAAAGCGAAGGACGGAAAACAAACAAAAATATAACGTCGATGATTCACGTAATGGAATAACGGGGGGGCACATACCGAAGGGAAAACGCACTTGGCGGATCGCTCGAGTCGAAGGCGACGCCTTTCTTGTCGTCCGTGCACCGGCAAGAAAATGCACGCCGACGCTGATGCCCTCCCCCTTGTGTTCATAAGCTGGAGATTCCTGGGGCCCTCGTCGCTACAGCTGGGTCCGCCTCGGCACCCTGGCCATCACGAGGGAGGAAGGGACTTTCCTGCGTCAGCACTAGGGATGAATTGGCTCACATGGTACTTGCGACAACACTCAGAGCAACAACGAGTGGTACGACGTCAGTGGTACGATACCATTTGGAATGAATCCCGAATGCTGCGGCAACAATACATCTCAGCCGAATCGCACACGGCACACGCGTGCGCCACGGCCACTTCCAAACTCAACATGGGCGGCAAGTGCTCCAAAGGGGTCTTGCGCTCGCTCGAGCACAACCTCGCCATTGGCGAGCTGGCGAACGAAACAGTGTGCGCCGTGCCCAATCGGAAGCGCAACTTTCAGAAGCCAAGCAACACGCTGCGCTACGGCGACAGTCGCATGTCGTCGCTGCGCGCGCGCAATGTACGCCGCGTCCCACTCTCGCCGCGCATCCTGAAACGTAAACGACAAGAATCTCATACAAAACTGGAAAAATCAACGCGATACTGTTGAGATGAGAAAGGTTCCTCCCGCTCAGGGATGCCCTCAGGGTGGAAACGGGGGCAGGTGAAAAACAAGGGAGCGCAGCATATGCTCCAGGCGCCTCCCTATGAGTTCACGAAGGGTCCGAGTGCAGCTTATGAGCGATGTCGCTCACGAGTGAAATACAAAGACCTGATATAGTTTGTGCGCGCGGGGGACATGCATCCCCGCCGCCATGGCCTTCCGTTGCTCGCTGTTATTAGTCTCACGCCTGCTCAGCGGTTCAACCGCTGCCTCTTCGCTTCCACGAGCTCCTGCATGAAAGGGCGTGAAGCACTCCAACGAAAGCGTGGATGGCCGTGGTAACCCCTGAGATAAGCATGGCACCATTCCGATGCGCCTGAATATGGGCAGCCGTCAGAGTAGCTCGGAGAAGCGCTCTTGGGCACAGGCGGCGGCCCAGACGAACACAGCACAGACGCGTGGCAACCGACAGGTTTAGCAACACGGTCAGAACTATTGATGTCATCGCCACGGCCAACATCATCACCGACACCACATTTGGTTAATACCGTCAATGACGGGACGCGCAACTCCGCGCGAGGGCACATCCCATCTTGATGCGGAGGGGGCTAGCACGCGGGGGGGCAGCGCGGAGTAGTTGCGATCCCGAGTTTGGGGCAACAGGGTTGAATCGAGCATCAGGTCTACCATGAGCAAACAGACTTCCAAGTCCCGAACAGTTGCAGCATTCGACAGAACGGTGATATACTGAGAAGAAGAAGGCCTTGGGCTGGCGGCGGGAGCCAAACACGAGCAGCTACAGAGAGCTGGCTGGCGGGGCCAACCATACCCAGACAGTGCAAGCACGACGGAGCGAGGACCCCCGAGGAGCGAAGCGCAGTTATTTAGGCGCTCGCGCACCGAGAGAGGAAGGGTTCCACAAGAGCAACGACAAGGATGCTCCTGTCATCATTCATGTGCCCGCACTCCCATTCAGTCGAAGGCTATCAGTCAAGTAACATGGCCAGATGTGTTAGCAGACGGGGAAGAGACTTATCCATCATCGCAGAGGTTCATGGCGATTGCGATGAGGGTGATCAGGGCGAGGTTCCGCGCACGGATGACCGATACTCTCCACTCCGCACCGCTGCAAGAACCTCCCGCAGACAAATTGTCCCTGAGTCGAATGGGCCAAGAGACGCAAAGTCTGAAGGATGAGCAGGGCGATTCGTAGGACTATACGGCAGAGCTATATGAATGAAGAAGAGGACGACGACGGCGACAACGGAACCGACGATGATTACCAACAAGAAATGACGATGATGTGGAGGAGGAGGAGGAGGAGGTGAGGGGAGGGCGAGGTGGATGAGATGGGGAATGAGGATGAAGGAGGTGGAAAGCGGAGGAGGGCAGCAATCGCTGGAGGAGACCTGCTGAGGGTGGAGGATGGCAGAGGGGCGGAGGAGATTTCAGGGTGGAGGAATGCAGGCGCAGGGCAAAGGAGGGCTGGGGGCTGAGGAGGACAAGGAAGGAGACAAATGGCAAGGGCGACGAGGAGGATCCCCTCCTCGTCCTCCCCCTCTCCCTCCTCACCTTCCACTCTCTCTGCACGCAGAGAAAGAACGTGACATCCGCTCGAGGCCCCGTGAACTGGGTTTTTTGACTGACGGGGCAACGGCATCCCCCCAAAAATGCAGCCGCTGTTGGAGCCATCATTCGTCCTCCTTTGTCTCCCACTGGATCTGGTAATCCACACATTCGCAGCGCACCCGCTCACACGAGGCTTCGGTCGGGCGTGTCCCCTTACAGGGGGATGTTGGACGCTAAATGAAACATAGTAGAAATATACTCAAAACATGCCCAACAGTTCCAAAGAACATCGTCCCCATACTATGTTTTGACTATGTTTGAACATTCCTCGCTGAGAAGGACAGGCCCGACTTAACACGAGGCCCCGACCCCTTCCCTCGCGTGAGCGGGAGAGAAGGATCGGAGAGCCGGGGTTGCTGGCACTAGGCTCCCGCGCCTTGCACAACTCCGTCTTGCCCACGCCAGTGGGGCCGCAGAAAATGAACGACGCGATGGGGCGCTCGGGATTCTTCAGCCCCGCACGGGAGCGGCGCACAGCCTGGCGGGGCCCGCCCCTCCTCCTCCTCCTCCTGCTCCTCCTCCTCCTCCTCTTCCTCTATCTCCTCCTCTTCCTCTTCCTCCTCCTCATCCTTCCACCCACTCCTCCTCCTCCTCCTCTTCTTCTTCCTCTTCATATGATTAGTATTCTTCTTCTGATGATTAATATTCTTAGTATTATTTTTAGTATTCTTATTGATAATGTTTTCTTATAACTCGTATTAATAATTATTATTATTGCTAGTAGTATCAGTATTCTTACTATCATAATAATCATTCTGCTTATTATTATTAGTATCATTATTAGTTTTTTTTTATCATTTTTATTATTAGTAGTATTATTAGTATTAGTATTATTGCATTACTACTATTACTATTATTATTCGTTTTTAATTCTTATTATTCTTCATATTCCTCCTCCTACTTCTTTTCCTCGTCCTCCTCTTCGGCCTCCTCCTCCTCCTCCTCCTCCTGCGCCTTCTCCTCTTCGGCCTCCTCCTCCTCCTCCTCCTCCTCCTCCTCCTCCTCCTCCTCCTCCTCCTCGTCCTCCTCCTCCTCCTCCTCCTCCTCCTCCCAGCTCCTCCTCCTCCCCCTCCCCCCAATATTTGTAACGCCGTAAATCCTTCTCCTCTTCCCTCCTTCCCCTCTCCCTCCCCCTTTATTCCTTCCCCTTACGCATAGTTTATCCCTGTCGCACCCCGGAGTTCGTTTTCAGCGCGGGCCGGGCGTTTCGCCTGCGACTTCCTCACCACCTATGCGTCTGAAACTTGAGCAAATCCGGCTCTCGACCTAGCGCCGCGCGTATTCGTTTTCAACATGTACAAGACTTTAACGCATTGACGGCGGGGGGGGTCAAAACGTGGCTATCACCCTAGCGCCGCGCACAGTCGAATCAACAACTTACAATATGCTCACGGATTGAAAACGGGGAGTTTTCAACATGCGGTTCTCGACTAAGCGCCGCACACATTCGTATTCAAACTGTGCAAGAACTTCGCGGATTGAGGGCGTCCCGTCTTCAAAATGGCATTAGCGCCGCGCACATGCCTTGCCAAACTTTGCAAGAACTTCACGGATTGGGGGCGGCCCCTTTTCAAAAAATGGCTGTCGCCATAGCGCCGCGCAGATTCGTGATAGCAACTTGCAGAAGTTTCACGGATTCCCATGGTCGATATACCAGAAATTGCATTTTGGATGGAGTCACGATTATGAGGGCGCAGCAGTTACGATGATACGCGGCGTTAATATCCCAAGGATGGCGATCAGGCAAGATTCAGGATCGTCAAGACGCAAAGGTCAAGTTTATTCGTGGCGTCGGAATCCCGAAACAATGGTTTGGCATGTTTCAGGGTCTTCAAGCGGATGAATTCAAACGAGGCAAGTCCGTCTGTGGAAATGAACCGTTGCAGGGGGCCTATGACAAAGGGAGCTTGCGGGGGAGGGTTTATCCAAACGTCGTTGGTGATTATTTGATTTACACTGGTCCTCCTCCTCCTCCGCCCCCTCCTCCTACTGCTCGTTCACCCGCTCATGCTCGCCCGCGTCTCTGCCCTGGTCGTCTTCCCGTGCCTCCTCCCATGTATCGTTTCTGTTCCTACGTCGCGCCCTGTTTCTCGTGCTCCTCTGGCCCCATCGGAAGGAGAGGAAACGGCGGAGAAGAAGGCCTGCTTGGGCTGAGGCCACCGCATGTTCCTATTCGAGCGGCACCCTGCATCATACCAGCTCGAAGTGTTGCTCAATGTGCGTGCGGCCTGTCGCCTTGGCCTTGTTCTAATCCCGCAAGCATTGCTCTTCAACCATGATCAGCAAACTGAGTCGGGCAAGCCGCCGCATAACTTATGACGAGGAAGAAAAGGAGCAGGAACACTCCGAGGAGGCGGTGGCGGTGGTGGAGCTGTTGGGGGCCATCGGCCGATGACGTCTCGCACCTCTTGCCCCTGGGGAGCCACGGCCTGCTGCAACTGCGGGCGTCGCCACCTCCGCTGCCCGCGGGGGCCGCGCCAACCGTCGCTGGAAGCGGCCCCGCTCCAGCAGGGCCCCTTTCTGCGGCCTCGCTACCCCCGCCATTGCAAGCGCCGTCTGGGCCCAGGCCTCACACCCAGAACCCAAACAGTGCAAGCAGTGGAAGGGGGGGGGGGATCGGGGGACGAGCGTGCTAACCCCCCTTGGCCGCGCGCGCTCGTCGCGCTCTGTCGGCCCCTGGGCCTCTCGCAGCCTGGCCAACGCCAGGCGCCGCAAAAAAATCCGACGGCAAAGAACAACCTCATGTGTTCTAAAACCTCTCCCACTCCTCCCGCCCGCGCGCCCCCATCCCTGGGCGCCCCTCCTGCGCGTCGCCGAAGTCCGGCGGCGGGGGGAGGGGGGGGGGGGGGGGCGCACCCCGAAGAGGAACGAGGGGGGGAGCGACACCACTGCACGCATGCTGCCACTGCCCTGCACTGCCCCATCACTAGCTCGCCAACCTATGCGTCCTCAGGATCGGGCCCAAAGCTATGCTCGGCGACGCTGGGTTCTGATCAAAAGTCTCGACGAGCTGCGTAAGCAAGTCATTCTGGTGCTAAATCAACTCGATCTGGGAGGAGAAATTGCGCGCGAGGATCGCCGCTCCCTCTAATCTTCGGAACCCTCAAACATAAGGTAGGACAGCGCGCGATGCTGGGCCCCACTACTCTGCAGGCTGGTCGACATACGAGATAACTCACCGAGCATGCTGGACTGGTGCTGCTTCATACGCTGAGCTGCGCTGATTTGGGCAATCTTGACCGTCTGCAGATACTCGTCGGCTTCAACTCCCCCAGCAATGTCGACGGTCCGGGCCTCGGCGCTGCTTTCGTTCTCGGGGCAGAGGCTGCTGCCGAGGCCGATCCACTGGCCATGGTCGGGGCGGAGCGGCCGAGGCAAGGCAATTGCTCTCACGACCGAGGAACCACTCGAAGACAAAATCGGCTACCCCGTAAATCTACCACTTAGATCCAGGCCCAGTTCCCTTCACGAATATGGCTGCGGTGCTGGCCTTGTTTGGGCGTGCGGATTCCACTGCTTGCACTGCGCGCCTCACGCGTTCAGAGCCCCCAGTCAGGCAACTGATACATATTACATATTCGTCAGCATTTCAGGGTCCCGTGCTATTTCTTCTGCTTGTACAATCACTGCCTCTGTAAATTGTGGAGTTGCCTCTCGGCTGCGCGGCCAAGCTCCGCGCGGGGCCCTGGGCCCGCTGTCTGGGCCCCCCGATGCTTAATTAGGGGTTGGTTGAGCGCTGACGGGAGAGCTCGCATGTCGATCGTGAACGGGACCGTGGGGACCTCTGTGCCTTTCGGGGTCGTCAGCTGAGGGGTCGTCCGGATGTCGGGCTGTAGGTGCATGCTGATCTGGAAATTCACTTCTCTGTCCGCTTCCTCTGCCCCCTCATGTCTGCATGTCTCTTTTGAACAGAGCAGAGCGCGCGGAAGATCTCGTTTGTGATGGACATTCCCTGCTCTGTGCTCATCAACTGGACCAACTCGCCTAAAACTTGTTTGGGTGGCCTCGGGTTCTGGCGCGCTCCGTTCAGTGCGTCGCGCATGCTCGCCACGAACCCTGCTGCGACGCGGGTGCGAGATGGGCCTTGTCCATGCCCCTTGCCTAATGAGCGCGCGGTTTCGTCATGTGCTAAGCCTGCCTGGAATCCCGCCTGCACCGGTGGCGCCTGGAACGGCAAAACCCATAACTCGAACAGGGTGTTGGACATCTCTCTCTCTCTGGTCTGCAGCTGCCCTCAGGGCCAGTTTCTGAAATGAGACGACTGCTGTTTCAAGCTGCGGAGCTGCGGCCGCGTCGCGCTGCTTCGCTGCTTTGGCTCCTCTGCTGCCCCCCCTTTGGCTGATTGCGGCCCGCCGCCTGCTGCAGACCCCATGCGCTCCTCCCGCCGCCGCCGCCGCCCCTCCCATCGTGCGCTTTGCCATCCAGCCCATCATCTTGCCGCGCGTGCAATACTCTTGCGGGCCCTGGGCGGTGGAGCGTCACGGGCGCATGGAAATCGTCGAAATCCGCAGCTCAATGCTCGCAAATGCTGCAAGTCAAACTCTCACCGCTGCTCTGGCTACTCTGGTCGACTCTCCGCCACTTCCCTAGCTGCGCTATTCATGGTGCTCGGTCTGTCTGGATCCATCGACCGTGCTCCTCTGTGCTGGGGTCGAACACGCAAATGTCGTTCGCGCGCGCGTGCCACCATGCATGCGTGCCTGGATCCGAGCTTGCGAGGTAGCTCATGTCAGCCAAGTACTGTTTTGCCCACAGTGCACTCCGGTTCCATACGCTCGTTTGGGGATAGTCTGGCCGCCCCCATTGATGCATCGCTCTTCGAGGTTCCAAGCGCCGCTGCTATAACTGCTTCGTGGTCCTGGGGGTAGAGGGCCCATCTGCGATATGCATGTAACCTGCTAACGTTGAGCGCATCTGCAGTTATGTCAATCCTCGCGCCGCATCCCCGCTGTCTGCGCGCCCCCATTCCCCTCTCGTCGACCCAGCAGCGTTTGCCCCGTGAAGCATCTTGCACATCGTCGATCCCGTTTGTTTATTTCTTGGCGATAATCCGCTGGCCCCCTTGCGGGGCCACCAGGCTGTAGGCCCGTGATTCGCAGTTTCCTGTGCCAGTCGTAGGTTGTAGTTTCCAGTGTTGCAGTTCTGCTTCTTGCTGGTTACTGTTACTAGTTGACTTATTGCTGGTCACTGTAACTAGTTGATTGACCGCGCGAGGGGGGGGAGGCCCAAAGTGGCTTTTTAGCGCCCCCTGGGCGCGTTGTCTGAATTGCTGGGGGGGGGGCTCGAAATCGACACCCCTCACGCAGATCTGCGGGGTCAGGGTCAAAAAACACATGGGATTTGCAACATTTCTGAAATTCGGTGCCACCCCTCACGCAGATCCGCGGGGCCAGGGTGCAAACGCACATGGGATTTGCCACATTTCTGAAATTCGGCACCACCCCTCACGCAGATCCGCGGGGTCAGGGTCCAAAAACA